ATTATTTTAAATGTCCCTTTTGGTGTGAGTCTGCATCCTATATTGACACATGACTTGCACTGTTACAAATTGTGATGCCATAATTTCTGCTGAGTTTGGCTTATCCTGTGTTCCTGTATTCTGATTTTGACCTGGCTAGCTTGTTGACCTTCCCTGCTTGCTGCCTGGCCTGACCTTGGCATATCTGACAAACTGATGTCTAGAATCATGAGACCTGTGGTGATTTACTAAAGGTTAGGTTACTGGGTTTCTTGAAGATTTTGTCAGTTCTCAGAGTTCTCATATATTTGCTAAAATACTGGTGCTCAGACTGGTATCACTGCTACCAAGACTGATCCACGCAGACTGATCTGGCAGACAACTGTATGAGGACACCCAGCAGGGGTCTTATCTGGTTTGGTACAAACTCCAAGATGCACTCCAGAGTGCAGAGGCCATTATTATTTGGACTACTACAATCCCTGAAATTGCCAGAGCCTTTCATGAACACAATCCGGGCTCTATACACAGATCTGAGAGCACAAACCGGAAACCGCGGGGCCCCTGGGACCTCTTTCCCCCTGACCAATGGAAAGTGACAAGGCTGTCCATTGTCCCCTCTTCTTTTTGTACTCACGCTGGAGCCGCTTTTACATGCCATCAGAACTGACCAACACATACAAGGAGTAAAGATAGCACACCGATAGGTTAAGGTATCGGCCTACGCTAATGACGTACTACTCACTCTTACAAACCCATTGCAGTCCATGGCCGCACTGGCTCCACTACTTGACAGATACGAGAGCCCTTCAGGGTACAAAGTCAACCTGGCCAAATCGGTAGACATACCTTCCCACCTCTCAGGTTCAGACACGATGTACATATGACAAAAATATCACATAGAAATCGCTACAGAGGCCTTCACATTCTTAGGGATTAAACTCACAGCAGATCCTACCCGGCTATATCACCATAATTACACGCCACTATTCCGCACAATCACAGAGGACCTAGAAAAGTGGACTGATAAACCCATCTCCAGGCTAGGCTGTCTACACAGTATAAAAATGAATGTCCTTGCTCACTCATCTTTTTGACCGCATTCCTGCTTCCAGACTCCACTCCAGCGGTTCCAACGATGGCCGCTGTAACTCTGCCCCCTTTTATGACGCTAATGACGTCATGACGCTGCATGTGTGCAGACGTCATGCCGCTGATGACGTCACGGTCTGCCACGACGTCCGAACTTTTGGGGGCGTGGTTTCCACTTTAATGAGTCAGCGATAAAAGGCTGACTCACACATAGGACTTTGCCTTGCTGTGGTTCTTTTTTAGTTCCCAATAGTGCTTCCTACCTGATTGTTCTTTTTAGTATCTTGACCTTGGCTATCTGACTACTCTCTATTCTCCTGTTCTTGACTCGGCTCTCGTACCTCGACTATTCTCATATCTGGTTCCCTGACTCGGATAGTATACTTGTTTTCGTGATTTCTGGATCCCTTGAACACGGCTTGTTCTTGACTATTCTCTTTCTGTCAAACGTAAAGTTCTGCCACTCTAAGGTCCGTTATACGTTTTTCTATTACACCCTGGCACTCTCCTCCAGGTAGTAGACAATGGGTAAAAATATAATTTTTGCTAACAACTCAAAATATGGGACCAAACAGCACTGAAATACGCCTTAGGGGGTACCCTTTCGCCAATGACCCCTGTACTCAGTAACAGACAATTCCCACCAGGAATGAGAGCAAAAGACTTTAAAGGATTTGAACAGGACTACAACAATTTATCCATCTCTATGTCAACAATAACATAGTCACATACGAACACCTACACACCTTAGCCCCGTTAATGACACAAAATTACTTCCGCTACATACAGGTTAGGGACTTTGCCAAAGAGGTCCATGCAGCCGCGAAGATACCAATGAACTTCTTTAAAAAGTTACGTTTCGAAGAAACCTCCCAAACCAAGTTAATCGCACTCTTATACCAGCATCTCTGCTCGAAATCAGGGGAGGTGGACAACTACGTTGTACTGACTTATGGGAAGCCGACCTGGGAGAGGAGTTTGACGGGACTGATTGGCAAGACATTTGGGACGCATGTATGTTCTGTTACAGGAGTAATCCTATAAAACACTATTTAGATGGTACATGACCCCTATTAAACAGTGTCACATGAAACTAAGTCCTACTGACTCATGCTGGAGCATATGCGGACAAAGGGGGAGCTATATTCACATGTGGTGACAATTCTCTAGGATGATTGAATTCTGGCAGAAGGTGGTCGACCTGAGCTCAAATATCCTCCAAAGGTGATTGAACCTAGACCCATGGGCCTGTCTATTGTCCAAACCAACTGATTGTCTCCACAGACCCGAGCAGAAGCTGCTCAACATGATCTATCTAGCAGCATGTAGCGCGCTAGCACAACACTGGACAATCCCCGGCCTACCAGAAGTTGCTTTAGTGTCACCAAACTAAGAGACAATCATCTTATGGATAGGCTAACCGCACAGGTAAGAAACACCACCACCGCTTTCTAAAAGGTATGGAAACTGTGGGAGCAATATGACAATAGTCCCCCTCAGAGAGGTCAGATAGTCCTTGGGGACCTCAGACCCAGAGGCTGGGGTTGGACTCTCTCACCGGTGTAGTAGGGAGTATCTTAATCTCTATCGTATTTCTCATGTTTATACTGTTGTGATGCTTCACTGGTGCTGAACCACCGCTTACCATTGATATATTTGCTAAAACATTGGGAGGAGCCTGCTGCTCCGCTTCTTGGGTATCCTTGGGAGGACTACTGTTGTGATCTCGGCACATGGCTCACAAAGGAGCCCTGGCCAGTGGACTCTAGGGGTGCCCGGGGTGGGGGGAGAGGCGGATTCCATGGCCGGTGCATGGGTGGTGCAGCTCACCATCTCCAGTTGTGAGGGTGACTGCAAAGAAGGAATGTCTGCAGTTAGGGATCCTCTACTAACCAATACCTGACACCTAGTTCTTGACACTAATGTACTCGAACATATCCATGTGATAGTGATAATGTGTGGACAGAGAAAAAAAAATGTTTATTGCTGATTATTGTAGAGTTTTGTAATATTTATATGCAATGCATATTGCTGTGCAGCTCTGTAATTCATGCACACACTTTATAAACTGTGGTAGCTCTCTGTAATGCACTCCGATAATAACATTTTTAGCCCATTCTAAACTCTTTTCACAATTATACCCACAATTCACAACCCCCATTATACCGTAGTCCATTGCAAATTACTCTGTTCACTCCCCCCTCATCCCTCTTCCTCTGCATACACACCACAGAATTCCACTTTCCTGGCTTTTAAAGTGATTGCCCCAGTCATATTGCTGATCACACCTCACGACAGACCTCTCCTAACCCTGATTAAATGGGTCTACCTGGAAGCTGCTCAGGGCACATGTTAGTGACATTGACACACCGAAATTAAGTTTATGCAAACATTCATACACCGTGCAGTTCACAGTCACACATAAACACCATGTAATTTACAGTCACACATGCACACCATGTACATTGATCAGCCTCAACATTTAAACCACTTTCCTAATATCGTGTATGTCCCCTTAATGCTGACAAAACAGCTCTAATGTGTCGAGGCATGGACTCCACAAGACTTCTAAACATGTCCTGTGGTATCTGGCACCACAACATTATCAATAAATCCTTTAAGTCCTGCAAGATGTAAGGGGGACACCATTGCTCAAATTTGTTCCAGCACATTTCACAGATGGGGTAAGACCTTGTTCTGACAGGCCCACAAATTGGATTCTAGGCCTTTTTGAGGATTCCAATTTAGAGAGAAACTGAGTCATCTTATGGTCAACTATAAGTGTCTCACTGACCTTACCAGGTTAAATAGGTTGAGGGCATTCAATCCCGAGCTTACTCAGAGTGGTCTTAGAGAGGGGTTCCCTAACCTTCATAGAAACACAGAATGTGATGGTAGAGAAGAACCATTTGGCCCTGTAGCGGACCACGGGTAACCTGGAGGGTTACCTCCGCTAATTCCTTCACTCAGCCACTCTGGAACCATTAACATAAGCAGACATCCATGCCCCCAGTAACCAAAAACATAGTCCTGGGAGTCAACTGATTTTATTTTGGCCACACATGGCATATCCAAAGATCACTCAGATCTGTTTGGTGAAATGGGAATGCCATTGAGGTAAAGTTTATACTGGCCAGACACGAGGTGCTAGCCCAAAACAGTTGCAGGGAAATAGGTGTCCTGGCCGTTCTCTGTTTGGGGGCTCCTGTGTGAACACAATGCAAGGGAATCTCTTAGTTTCAGGGTACGAATGCTCCCTCTGTTCGGTAGTTTATATCTCCCGAACGATGTTCGTATAGGTGGTCGGGAAATCTTTACTGGGGTTCGTGTGAATACCTAACCGAAAAGAGTTCCAGGTACTCGACGACCAAGTACTGCTGCCCACGTTCGGGAGAGAAGATGGCTGCCATTCTTTTGTCTACCACGTGCGTTTGGTTATACGAAATGGCGGTCACTCAGGGGTAGCATTCATTATTTACTTCCTTTGCGGTTTTGCACTTTAGTTGCTGGTGTGAATAACCAAGAGGTGGTCCACGTTCGGGAGACAAATGGATTTTTTTCATATGAAGTACTCCCGAACGGAAAAATGATAAAAACAGACTGAATGAAGGGAAACACACTGAAATAGGTGGTAAATTCCGCCACAGGCCCATCTAGTCTGCCCAACTTTTTTTTTTTAGTTTGGAAAATAATTTATTTAAATAAAAGAAAACAAAAAGAAAGTGACATACATATATCCTGTGAAACAGTGGTTCTAAAGGAACTCTATTCAGAAGCATAACCATTCAATGACTGTAGAATGACTGTAGAATCTTGTAATAGTTTCTGTCTGGGTCATGCCGTTGATTCCTATGTTTCTCCTCCTCAATGCGAGTATTGTATGATCTCCTTGTTATGATACACCTTGTTTCAGCACCTCTCTGAATCCTTCAGAGTTTCAGGTCACTCTGGTTCTTAGCACAATCTAAGAATTGCTTGAGCTCATACTGGCAAGGTGTATACTGGGCCTTCTGCTGCTGATACACTGGCTGTGAAGGAGCTGGTTCCTGATAAGTGATGTCGTTCCTTGCTGGCTCTGAACTGCTTCCTTCACCAAAATCTCCTGTGCTGGCATGTCCAACTATGTGTCCCACGGCAGAGCCCACAGCAACTCCAGCAGCTGTGGAAGCCATCTGTGCCATTAAACCTGGTTGCCAAGGGGCCAACTGCTGAAGAAGCTGCAGCTACAGGGGCAGGTGGACTAGCTGCAGGAGGTGGTGCTGACCTCATTACAGGTGCCTGGCTGGCTGGTGGGGCCACCCGGGAGTTTTTTGCTCTTTCTTCTCCTGGGCATGGTGCTGGCTCTGTGTCTTATCTGCCATACAATGTTCGTCCTTCACAGGAGCTGCAGAGTTTTGATGATAGACAGTGAGCCAAATGATCAGTGGGAACTCCACAGAGCGGCATGATGCCAGATATTTGGGTCGGAGATAGGCTTTCCCTATTGATCCATAATAATATCAGCTGTGGTAGCCGGGGTAGGGACTGAATCCTAACCTGCCTGAGTAGCTGGAAAAATGCCAGGCCGCTCATCAAATTCACTCTCAGCCTCCTCCTCCTAGAGTCTGTCACAGAATGCTAAAAGGCAAACTGAGGATCCGCCAGAATATTATCCTAGTTCTCTAGGGCGTCATGTGAAGAGAGAGGTTCAGAGACATCTCTCAAAGGGGATCCCCAGCCTCAGCCATGCTCTCAAATCATTTAGGTCTGGGCATATCAACCTAATGGAAAAGACATCTAAATGGGCTAAGAAAAAAACTTATTAAAGGCAAATTAAACTGGCAGGAATAGAGGTTAAAAACCCTGAGGGAAACCAGGGAGCCCCAAGGAAAAAGATAACCTTTCAACAGATAAGGAAAACAGTCCCTAAACTAGTGTGACTGGGCATAAAGATCCCCCAAAGCTAACAAATATATGCACAACAAGAAAGCAGCAGGAAGGTAAGGGAGAACAAACAGTGTGAGGAGCAATAGAATGGTGCTAGAGATGCAGCCCAGTGAAACTCCGATCATAAATCTTGCAAGGCTGCAGCAGATAAGATCAAGCATCAGATTATATGATTGTGTGGCCTTATAATCCACTGCCCTCAGCCTGGCTGGAAGAACAAAGGGGGAAGCCACCCAGAAACTAAGTGAGCGGACCACGGAGTGCAGACAAACATGGGGCAGGTGCCACGGCAGACAAAGAAGGGAGATAAATTCAACAGCCTTCTAAAATAAGCATAAGTAGATAAAACACAGTTATAAATAACTTAATAAAAGTATATAAAAAAATAAAATAATAATGCATATTGTAGTACATCTGTACCCTGGCTGTCTACCTCCGCAAAGGACCGCTTCCCATCTGGAACCAGGGAAAACCTCAGCGCTTCTGCCCTAGTCACCGTGGCTTGGCTGGGGTTCTCCTGGAGCCTCTCCGTCCTGGAACAGGATAAGGGACTAGCTCTACTCCCTCCCAGGGACTGAATGAGACAGTCCTGGGAGCTGTAGTCTTTACAAGGACTTTCCCCGCCGAATCTTCCACGAGTTGCAACAGGGTGCTGAGCAGTGATTAGCCCTTTCCCCTCCCAGTAACTAGACAACACATAGTTCTGAGAGTACAACTGATTTTAATGAGCCAAACTCAGCCTTTTATGCAGAGACCCGAGCAGAGGGTCTCGATTGTATTCAACATAAGCCCCTCCCAGGAATCTCAGGGCCTGGGAGATAATTGCATTAAAGACCGGAAGCTAATTATCTCCCAGGAACAGAGAGGCAAACACAAAAACACAAACATAAGAAAATACCCCAAAACATCATAAAATATACTGTCACAACACAAATAATAGATCCCCAAATAGCCCTGATCTGAGTGCTCAAGTTTTAGAAATAGTGCTCAGATCCATGCAGTGTAGGGGAAACGCCACTGTGTTAAATTTCTGACCAGCCGCACATGTGGTCCTATGCCCAAAATAGTTCCAGGGCGTTTGGTGCTTTTGCCGGTCTACTTTCGGGAGCTCCTGCGTCCGAAATACCGGGTGCTCCACCTGGCTCTCAGGTAACATTTGGTCCCCTTAGTCTCAGGCACCTTCCCTCCAAAAAGCGCTCTCCTGGCAGGTTGCAAAGTAGTTTAAAACCCCGGACCAAGTTTTCTGGGAACCACACGGTCACCTCATGCCAAAAATAGTTGCATAACATTCGCGGCTAAGTACTGCTGAGGTGACCGGGGACCCACAAAGTCCTCATGCCGAAATTAGTTCCACAGCGGTCGTGGCTAAGTACCGCTGAGGACCATATGTGGGTTTGTTTCATGCGAACGCTCACCAGGGAGCTAGCTATGGTTCCATTTGTGAGAAGGGAAAGTGCCGAACCAAGGGCACTCAGGGAAAGCTGATAATGGCGCCTGGGCAGGGTAACTCCCGAACTGGGTCTCAGACCTGGACCATAATCGGTGGGCAGGAGGCAGGCTTCCACACACCTCCAGGAGTCCATGGCAAACGTTCATGGAAATAAGCTTTTGTCACACATACATATAGTTGTAATCAAAATTCTTCAAGCCAAATTGAAAATCAGGTTTATTTTCAAAATTTACAGACTTTCAACTGTTTACAATGAACAAATCTAACAAATGCAATTGAAATATCTCAACACAATTAATGTTTCAAATAGTTTCCCCAAATTCAACTGAAAATGCAATGTATCAGGTTCAACTGCATGTTAGAAATATGGCTAAGTCAAAAGAATGGCCCACAAAGTTAAGAGAAGAGATCATTGTCCTTTACAAACAAAGGACATCATACAAAAAAGATAGCAAAGGCACTGAATGTATCTATAGACACCATTGGAAGCACAGTTCGCAAGCAAGTAGTTTGCAAATTCAAAGTTAAAGGAACAGTGGTAACACTACCTGGGCGGGGCAGAAAAAGGGAAATTCAGTGAGCACAGTAAGGCGTGTACCGAACGCAGAAAGATTCCATGCCAGAATTCCAAGACGTACACCACTATGACCCAAAAGGACAGGAAAAGCCAGCTCCAATATGCTCAAGATCATATAAATAAGCCACAGACATTTTGTGATTCTGTTCTGTGGAGCAATTAAATAAAACTGGAACTTTTCAGCCCAATGGATCAGCGGTATGTCTGGAGCAAGAAGAATGAAGCATACGCTGAAAAGAACACTCTGCCTACTGTTAAGCATGGTGGTGGCTCGTGATGCTCTGGGGCTGCTTTGTATACTCACACACTGGAAACCTGGAGCGTGTGGAAGGCAAGATGGATTAATTGAAGTATCAAGAAATCCTACAAGAAAACATCATGCTGTCTGTGAGGAATCTGAAGCTTGAGCATTATTTGACCTTCTAACAAAACAATGATGCCAAGCATACCTCAAATTCCACCAAAGCCTGGTTGCAGAAGAAGCCCTGAAAAATTCCACAGTGGCCATTACAATCACCTTGAACCCTATAGAAAATCTCTGGTGGGATTTAAAGAAGGCGGTTGTAGCAAGGAAACCCGAAAGTATTGCTGAACTGGACGCCGTTGCTCATGAGAAGCTGGTTTCTGGCTATGCATCTCGTTTGTAGCAGGTCATAACAGCAAAAGGGTACTCTACTAAGTACTAAAGATACTTGCCATGAATACTTTTGAGACTGGAGAAGTCATTATAAGTTGCATTTTCAGTTGAATTTGGGGAAACAACTTGAAGCATTCGTTGTGTTGAGCTATTTCAATTGCTATTGTTTGATTTCTTCATTTCAAAAAGTCTATAGATTTTGATAATAAACCTGATTTTCAATTGGGGTTGAATCATTTTGATTACAACTGTATAATAGCAAAGAAACAATGAAATTCTAGTCCCAAAGTACAGGTTAGACACAATCCAAAGAACACAACCAAATACAGGTGTGAGTGTGCTTAACTGCATGGGAGCAGCAAAGAAAGAAGTTTCTCTGTTCTAGTGGAATTTTATGGACTAAGGTCAAGGGGAGGTTATGTGGATCAAGTTACATAGTTACATAGTTACATAGCTGAAAAGAGACTTGCGTCCATCAAGTTCAGCCTTCCTCACATATGTTTTTGCTGTTGATCCAAAAGAAGGCAAAAAACCTAGTCTGAAACGCTTCTAATTTTGCAACAAACTGGGAAAAAATTCATTCTTGACCCCAAAATAGCAGTCAGATGTCTCCTTGGATCAAGCAGCTATTACCCCACTAATTATAAAATATATCCCTGTATGTTATGTTTTTGCAAGTATTTATCCAATTGCAGTTTAAACATCTGTATAGACTCTGACAAAAACCACCTCTTCAGGCAGAGAATTCCATATCCTTATTGCTCTTACTGTAAAAAAAAAAACCTTTTCTTTGCCTTAGATGAAATCTCCTTTCCTCCAGTTCTTTTTTTATCTATTTGTCAATGTTTTACTTTGTTGCTATGGGAAGTTAATAATGAGTTAATGCACAATATGAGCCTCTGTGTCTTGAAAGAAAATCAGTGTTATTCACCTCACTCATCAGTGGGTTTAATGTTGTGGCTGATCAGTGTAGTTTACAGCCACACATATACACCATTAGATTCACAGTCACATTTTTACACTTTCAGTTTGCGAGGGTACACAAGCCATTTCTTCGGAGCTGGGTGTCTCTCATGGACTACATAAATTATTTGTAGGATTAGGAGCCTCATTAATTGCAACACTCATTCATTGCACATTCTTTTCTACACTGTTTTATTGGCGTAGTTATGTGGCTTGGTGATTATGATAGCTCCATTGTTTCTCTGGTTCAACATTTCATTAATTTCTACTTCTATCGTATATCACTGTGGTGCTTTATAAATTACTGATTTATTAATGTATGTCATCAAACTGGGCATGGCCTTCTGCCAACGGACTCATACAGTACAATTATTACTTTTTTTTGTTTGTTCATTTATAGCAAAATATAAACAATGCAACCTCTCAACATTCTACACTGTAATTGTAAAATTACTTTAAAAATAGTATTTATTACTTGTTATTATCTTACCCAAAAAACAATTTCAATTCTCACTGGAAGAAAACAGTTGAAGAAGCAAAATAAACATGGACAATGGCTTGATGACTACCTATTTCCTATTGCATACACAATTCAATCTAGATACCAGAAACTGTAGGG